GGACACTCTTGTGGGACACTCTTGTACTTGGATGATCTGGGGTTTGCTGGTGGTTTATGCTGTTTATCAATAGTTTGTTAGTAGCTACCTAGATAGCTTTTAAGTTTATCTTAAGAATCTGTTAACCAGATATAAAGTTTCTATTTTTTTTAAAGGTTAACCCCTGTTTAGCTAAAAATTAGCTAAAGTCACCACTGCAACATAATTATGTTAAGTGCTTAGCCTGAAAAATGCTAATTATGTTAACTAATGTTAAATGTTTAGCTTCAAAATTAACATAGTTAGCCAAGTACTTAGCTAAGTACTTAGCTGGCCTTGCAGCTTCACACCAAGAAGTCAATTTGCATATTTTTGATTGTTTTTTTCCCGAAAGCACCTGCGAAGGGTTTTTCCTTAAGCACTGCTGCCTATTTCATCTTCCTTAATCTCTTTCTCTTACTTCATCTTCCCCACTCTCTCTTCCTTACTCTCTTTCTCTTACTTCATCTTCCCCACTCTCTCTTCCTGACTCTCTTTATCCTACTTCACCTTCCTTACTTCATATTCTTTACTAACTTTCTCCTACTTCACCCTCACAACATCATCATCTAATCATCACCTCATAGGTTATTAATCTCATATCATATCATATTATATCATATCAGGTTATAATATCATGTCACATCACATCAATGTCATAACATATCATATCATATCATGTTTAAATATCATATCACATCACATCAATGTCAGATCATATCATCTCATATCATGTGATAAAATAATATCACATCACAACATAACATATGAAGTAGAAGTATCAGATCAACAATATCAAAGTACATCAGAAGTAGATATTGATAGGTAGGTATTGATAAGTGGGTATAGACAGGTAGGTGTAGGTAGGTAGGTGTAGATAGGTAGGTGAAGATAGGTAGGTGAAGATAGGTAGGTGTAGACATCTTCCTTAAGACACCTACCCAACTTCACCTACCCAACTTCTTCTTTATTCTTCTCTTTAGGCGGCGGGGCGGTGCGAGCAGGTCTTACGAAACGCAACCCTCTCGTGGAATCGTGGCCATCGATCGCGCGCGCGTGTGGTGAGACGCGAATCGCGTTTGCCCTCGAGCAACCCTCTGCGGAGATCGTGCGTGTCGAGTGCACGAACGTGTGGTGAAACGTACATTTTGTCTGAGCGCGGCTGGGCGCACCATTATAATTCTGGTCACAAGGATGTCCCCAATGTGCGGTCCGGACCGCATACTCAATGGAAAATGCGATTCCAAGGTCTGTGCCCGGTCTGTGCCCGGATCGTTCCCCCATTGTAATTCTGGTCGCAAGGATGTCGCGAATGTGCGCTGCGGACTTCATACTCGTTGGGAAATGCGATTCCATGGTCTGTGCCCGGAGCGTTCCCCCATTGTAATTCTGGCTCGAAGGTGTTCCTGTGTCATCGCTCGGAGCGTAGTTACATTGTGTTTTGCAAGCTTTGGTTGCTAATCGCCTTATAGTTCTGGCTCGAAGGTGTTCCTGT